TTTGGGTCTTGGTTTATCTTTTGCCAGGGAGGAAAAAAAAAAAAAAAGAAAAGAAAAAGAAAAAAAAAAGAAGAAAAAAAAAAAGGCACTAGACCTAGGTTTGGGAATTAGAGAAGACTCAGGGGGGAAAAAAAAAAAAAAGGAAGAGAGCTTTTGTTGCACATTCCCCTCTCGCTGCCCACGATATAAGTAACCTACAAGGAGCCAGATAGCTTTGGAGCAAAGAACCATCACAAAGATCCTTCACCTTTCCAGCAATGGAGAGAGTCCAAAAGGCATGGAGAAACTCTGAAACTGTTGCCTATCCACTACTGAAGTGTAAGGAAAGACCACCCAAAAGAGGGTTAAATCCTACAGATTCTCTTCACTTCTCCTGGTGCTACAAAGTGCAGGGCAGGGACAGGGCTTGCAGCTAACGTGGGACCAGGTGGGAAGAACGGGACTCAGTCGCATTACCATAAACACCAAGATAGCAGGGATTGCCAAGATTTTGAGTGATAAAGTTCTGCATTTCTACAATTTTCCTGTGGGTCTTGTTAATCTAAATCCATATATGAAGCACGCTGACTGACACACAGTAAGTAGCTCAGTGATTACCTGAAGGGCCTACAAGGAAGCTGGGGGGGATTTTTTACAAGGGCCTGTAGTGACAGGACAAGGGGTAACGGGTTTAAATTGAAAGTGGGGAGGTTTAGATTGGATATCAGGAAGAAGTTCTTCCTGGAGAGGGTGGTGAGGCACTGGAACAGGTTGCCCAGAGAAGCTGTGCATGCCCCATCCCTGGAAGTGTTCAAGGCCAGGCTGGATGAGGCTTTGAGCAACCTGGTCTAGTGGAAGGTGTCCCTGCCCATGGCAGGGGGGTTGGAACTAAATGAGCTTTAAGGTCCCTTCCAACCCTAACCATTCTATGATTCTATGATAATTACTTCAATTCCAGAAAACACAATCCTATATAAAGTTCAAACTTAACTTGATACAAAATTGTCTTGGATATTGGCCTTAATGTTAGAACCTTTGGAAAAATGCCTCCATCCAAAATAATAACTCAAACCACCATGGTTGAATACAAGGGGTGAAAATTGAAGCCCAACTCAAAAGCAACACAAACACAATACGTAACCCTCTCATTAAGAAGCTGTATGAATTTCAGAGTATGTTTTTCAACAATGCAGTTTGTTCAGGTCTGAATAATCCATAAGAATTAAGTGAATTAAAATCATACACAGAAAGGCTCAGGAATTTTTTGTCAGATATCCTTCTGATAAATTTATCATTGATATTTAGAAATGGAATTGGCACCTACTTTACTAAACATTAACAAATATTCTATACCAAGTGAGTGGGAAAAACAGTACAACTCAACATTACTCATATCTTTTTTTTCCCTTTAAATCAGATTATGTGCATTGTGTTTAACTTCAAGAACCACAGTTCCCAAGTGAATGTGATGAAACAGACAGCCTGATAAATCAAGAATAATTTCTTTCTGCAACGAGGTATCACGGAGTGCAATTAGTGACCATGAAGTAATCAAGTTTGTGTCTCATGCGTCTCATCTCCTTGCTGGAGCAGCTTGCAGCAACCTTACACTCCTAGGTGCCTGCTGGATACGATGACATTTTCTTCCAGTTTTTATGCTCAAATGGAGCCGATTATAACAACAATGAAAACATGAGAGTGAATGTTTTTAGACAGTGAAAACTAACCCACCACACTGCATTTCTCAGAAATACAAACTAGCTCATGTAAGGGTTTGTTGAGACTGGTCGATACTAATCTAAGATAAAATCATAATAATACTGCATTTTATATTTCTTTCCTACATTTAATGATCAGTAGTAGAATTTTACTGGATTCACTAAGCTATATAAAATCAAAATCAAACTACGTAGTTGCTGCCATCGTTTATGTCAGCAATGATAATTTACAGGTCTTCAGATGTTTGCAAATAAACTTAATTGAAAACTGTAAATCATCATATACTCAAAATGCGTATCGGCATCCCAAGACATCAGAAGGAATTGAAGATGAGCAGCCTTCTGCAACTGAAAGCTTTTTTCCAGCCGACAAACAGGAAAAGCTAGTGACTCAGCTCACTCAGATTTCACAGTAACTCTGTGCATTAAGTAAATGAATATTTCATATATACCTAAAGTGAGCATACATAGTGTTCCAAACAAATAAATTACGTGGCCTGGTGGTAAACAGCTCTAGTATAATTCAAAGAGATGCCAAGCAAGGAAAAAGAACTGAAGAAGTGAGGGATATGACAGTGGGAAACTAGAAGATGAAACAAATAGGTATCAGGAGTCTTGCTAGCATTTTGCCTTTTATTAATATGGAATCAGTTTAATATCAGGATTATAAATTGAACAAACAGTAGGCGGCATCACCACCCCCAAATCATCATATAGATCAGAAGTTACTTGCCTGGAGGAAACAAGCAAGAGTCTAAGCTAACATGGAAACCATGTACAGAAATTTAAAAGGGAAAAAACCGAGAGAGAAAGGCTCCTCATTAGTCCCCAAACCTCCCTGACACTGACACCACACATGCACACATGCTGTGGGTACAACAGCCCACAAAACCCAAGCAACTCGAGGCTCACCACAGTCTGCAGGGCTGCTGCATGTTCTGCATGTCCAAGGTCCTCCTCCCAGGCTCTGAATCCCCAGAAACATTCAGGATGTGGGGAAGAAGGAAGAGGGCACTCTGGAAATACGCACGTGAACAAGTGGTGGCTGCTCTCGTCCCCTCCTCTGTGGAGCACTTGCCTGCACACACCCCCACACCATGCCTGACTCCCAAACACTCTCCTCCGCAACGACACCCTTCAGCCGAAGATGGTCTCCAAGAGTCTCCAACTGGACAAAGACCCAGACTTGGAAAAGTTCATAGGGCAGATCCACACACCGCTCAAACCTTTCCACCGGTGTTGCTGGACCGGATTGAGGGCGAGCAGAGGAGGCACACAGCTAATACCACCCTCCTTTTGCAGAGGGTGTCAGGAAAGGAAGCCTCTCCCCATCCCACCACAGCCACCGCTGTCCCTCCCTCTGGGTCGGGGGTTTTCAATCCCAGTGTGGAGGGCTCTTTGGCCAAAGAGCCAGCACAGATAAGACTACCAACCCATGAAACACCGTTGTGACATGGGCAACTGCTGAAGTTTATGCAGACGGGTTTAAAAAAATAAAGAAAGGGGGCGGGGAAAAAAAAAAAGGAGTGTCAAATTGAAAGTAAGCAAAGTGGGTAAGAAAAAAGTCCATGATGAAATCATGGAAATGAAAGGATCTCATCTCAGCCAGCGACCGAGGAGACCAGAAGAGTTGGGACTCGTACCATGTGTTTTTGTGAAGAGTCGCCAGACAACACGCATGTTTTTATAAATGCTGACAAAACCGCTCACATATTGAATTGTATTTCCCCAGTGCCTTTTGTCTATGGACAATGGGTATGTGCAACGCTTAGTTTCTGGGTCTGATGCATTTTTGCAGAGACACTTTTCTGAAACCTCTCTCTGCAAAATGAATATGGGTTTTCAAACAGCACTGAGTTGTACACAGGGGATATTTTCTGTCAGCAGATGCAATTCACCTGAACTGGATGCTCTGAAGTCAGATGCATTTCCTTTGAATACATAATTTCCTTCTCTACATAATTCACCATACTCCCCTTATAATTTCTTAAACCTCTAAACAATTTAAAGTCAGTTGGTATAGATATGTATGATATTTTTTTAGCCCTGACTCATTAATTCTACAATATTTTAGCTTTAACATAAATGGGATGTCCAACTTTTTGTTCTTGACTTATGTAAGGAAATAGGCAGTGATTAAAAAAACCCTATCTATTTACTGAATATATTCCCCAACCTCTAGAGGAAAAAAGAAAAAGTCGTCAGACATACCTCTCACAACAGGTTGAGCATTTTTCCATTAGAAAAATGGCACTGCCTTATGGAGAAGGATGAAACATCTTCACATAGCAGGGTACCACGCACACGGTACGGAGGCGATCCCTTTGCTGGGGGAATGCATTGCAGTAGTCTGCACAATATGAGGTATCGTTCTATCTGAATTTGATAATCTTATTTCCCTCTTTCTATCATGGGCTCATTTCAATATGTAAATATTTAGAATAGGCCAGCATAAAGCAGAAGAACTATAAAATTACTAACAGTTTAAAATAAGGTCCTAAGCATTTAGGTGCGGGTAATGTTGGAATGTATCTCTCTGACACAGAATCACTCACAAAAGCTCCACCAAAACTTGCCACTTCTACCAAATTAACAGGGTGTTTAAAGTGTTCTATAAGCAATCAAAACAAACAAACCAAAAAAATCCTAGAAACTACAGCACGCTCACACCACATACCATCAACCTGTTCAGTAAACAGATTTTTTTTTAAAACAGAGAAAAACAGGTCTTGCAGGCATCTTGAGAGATGCCTTGTCCATGTGCCTACCTCAGAGCAAAATCAATTCTTCCATAACCATTCGTGGTAAAGGTTGGTTTAACATGTTCATAAACACTTCTGAAAGTGGGGAATACATAACCACCACCCAAGCAATCTATGCCAGTGACGGACCATTATAAGGCTTTTTTTTTTCCCTAAAATCTGAACTAAATCTCCTTTGTTCCTATTGCACTATTTCCTTCCCATTTGCAGACAGAGTTTGCACATCTCTCATTTTTTCCCCTACCATAAATCATGCCCATTTTCTTTAACTTTTCCTGCTAAATCATGTTTTTGAGACCTAATGAATCACATCTTTCTCCCCATGACTCTCCAAGTGTTCTTTGCTATTTATGGTGTGATGTCAAAAACGAGATCCAGTGCTCCAGTTCTGCACACATACAGACTGACCATTCCCTACAGTCTTCTACTGTGAATTTAAAACCACCAACCCTCTTCCCCCCTTCTTGCCCCCCAGTTTCTACTGCTACACAAACTACCAAGCGTGTAAGGACCGTGCAATCCAAGCACCTGCACCGCTCACCTGTTTTTGAGATGTGCCGCCAGGTCACATCGCTGCATGACTTCTTGACACACGGAAGAGAAGGGGCACAAAACAAAGAGCTTGTCTAACAGTTTATGAACAAGAATGCTGGATTTTTTGCAGAGTTTAAAATGGAGTCTTTTTCGATCCAGCGGGCAGAAATCCTTCTCTTGTAGAAAGTTCCTTAGGCACTTGTAGCAGAAAGTGTGTCCACAGGGAGTGTCCAACGGCTGCAGCAAGGGCTGAAGGCAAATGTGGCAGACCAAGTCGTCGTCCACTTCATTCTGGTAGTTGTAGAGGTGATTCTCCCTTGTCCAGTGCTGCTGCCCACACTCAAAGCACAGGGGGTTCAAGGAGGCGTTCTGCTCCACTGAAGCCATGTCGTCACCTGTAGTCCCCATTGTACAGCTAAGAAGGCTGACGGATCCTCCTCCTCATAGGATAGGGTTGCCCACGTAAAGCTCAGAGGGAAGCAACTTCCTCCAAGGTGACTTACACTCTTCAGTCAACTGTCATTTTCTGCAACAAATAAAGAAATAAAAATTAATCATTTTGCATGACTTACGAAAGTTCTTGTCAGAATTTGACTTCTGAGTTTACCAAAGCACAACAGCCACACAGACGAAGAGAATATTCCTGTTTTATGTAAATTTGCCATAGAAGAGAAAAACAACAACAAAAAAATCTGTAAGTACAATTCCTTTTATAACATAAACACTTTACAGCTTCATAACAGCTGCCGCAGTGCACAGTTTTTACCTGCAAGATGACCAGTTTGTGACAGCAAGGACACCGCATTATGCAATGTCACATTAGAAGCGTGCAATTAGCATCTAGCACAAAAATAGCCTGTTGTGGAATGATGGTTATATGACCAAGTAATTGTCGTCTTTAATATGAGATTATGATTTTAATCTGGTCCTACTCTCTTTTCTGGATTTTGACTATTCGTGTAGAATATTAACATTAAAAGGTCTAAATACATTGCTTAAAAATAACAGCAAACAACGGCTTACCCTGTTCTTTCCATTAGTGACATTGCATATATGTCACCACTTACCTTCAGGTTTTCTCTGTGGGCTGCTACACAGCAAGAGGGACTGATTCCATCCAATACTCCACATTCGATTTAGCAAAGAGGAGAGTAATAACAATATGTAATAGAGTAATCGCATGAAGCTATTTGTTCCAAACACCTAACCTGTTTATTTTTTTATCTAACAAAATCACAGCATACTCAGTGTGACGATAACCATGTCGGTCAAAGAACCGGAGATCTCTCTCATCATGGGATTTATTTTTCTAAACTTTACAAGTTATTCAATTTTGCCCCTTTTAAAACAACAGCCTGGTCAGGAAACTGTGCAGCCATCCGTCTGCAATTTAAAACGCTAAATTCTTTCCCCTCCCAACTTTGTTTACTCTTCTCTCCCTTACAAAATCACATTGCTTGACACTCATAACAGGATGATTTAGGAAATAAAACAAAATTTCTCACACTCTAAAGAGACCTTCTCATTTGTTAGTTTTGGTAAATGTTCTCATCGGTGGAGGGGAAACAAAAAATAAAATAAAATTTGAGCAATGCTTACTTTGTGCCTAAATTCTTTATTGCAATTCAGCAAGCAACACAGGACAGACACTGTATTCTAGCAGAGCAGTAGCAAGCGTATGGAGAAATTAAAAATACTAGTCTTGGTACCTGCCCATCATCTTTATTTTTAGCTACTGAAATGCAGTCATAAATATATGCCGAAATTTATGTGGAACACATACATTTCGCCATGTCTTACTTTTTAAGAGGATCCCTATTTCGCTTTTTGCCCCTTAACCTCACACAGTCAAGCACAAGACTTAGAGCACATTTATAAGGATTATTATATCCTTTGACGCAAAAAGGATTAAATAGTAATTTGTAATCCAGGCTTGTATTCTGCCATGGAAATTGATGCTCATCGTTGCCCTGCCTCATAGTAGATAATGTGCACCTTCTGGAAAGGATTTCACGAGGGAAGAGCATCGCTGTTCTTTGTTACTAGAGACTAAGAATGCAAAATGAGACCCCCAAAAGAGATTACTCAAAAAACAGTCTTAAACGTATTATGTAAGAGTTGAAAGATTGGAGAGCAGATCAGCAGAGCAGTGCACGGGGCCCTCGTGCTCAAACCGCAGGTCCCTCACTCAGTGTTGTGCTGCTGGATTAACGCAGAAGGGATGAGAGACCTGACTAATGGCTGTTCTTTATGTAATGCAAAATAAACCAGATAAACATTCTAGAAAAGCCCTGTATTGATTTACGACTTTACCAAATTGTTTTGCCACTTAGAGAACCAGGAGTGGAACACGTGGCGCGTGTCGTATGGTACATGGAACACCAACAGGCAGGGCAGAGGAAAGGGACATACAAAACAGGCAGAAAAAGCAATTTTAACAGTGTGTTGCCCAAATGCTAGACCCACTCCTATTGGACTCTTCCTCCTTCTCCAGGTAACCAAGGTCACAAGAAAGGAGCTAGTCCTGTATCATCAAGGCTATGGAAAAACCCCTGGGACCATTCTGTGGCCTGCAGTCATGGAGCTCTGATTATGGACAGTGAGCATCCTGAATTCACCTTCTTGAAGGCTTCCAGCATTCCTCTCAAGTCTACATGACTGACACACCAGTCTGCTACAGAGCACCAGGCAGTGTCATACAATAAACCAACTCATGAGATACCTTGACCGTGTCCCTGCTATGGTCAAAGATACAGCCTTCTGAAAGAGGGATGCAGGTAACTGAATGCTTTTGTGGGTTAAGAACTTTTATTAATAGCTTACTGTAAATTTTGAACAAAAAGTAAACAAAAAACCCACAAAGTTACTGAGCAATCAGGCTTTCACTGCCATGTTTTAAATTACCATGACAAGCCTTCTTTCTTAAGAGAGGTATATCTAGGGACAAGCTCTATTTGCTGAAATCACCAGAGCCTGTCCTCAGGGAAAGACAGGCAGCTTCTCTGTTGCCCACCACCAAAGGAGGCGAGCAGACAAACCTTGTCCTACGACTGCCCCATCCCAGTGTCTTCACGCTGCTGGTGCAGGGACGAGTGCCCTCGGCTGTGCTTTGCTGCTGCTTCAGGCCAGGGGCATCCTGTTTCTGCTGGTGGCTGACATTGCCTCAAGCTGCTGCTCAGCGCCAGCAGTGCCCTGTTAGCTTAAACCATCAATAAATATCATACAAACTAACCCTGCAGCTGACGTGACCACCCTTCCACCACCTCTTTGCTAGCAGAGCTGCGGAAGAAATAGATAGCAGGTTACAACGTGAAGATTAAAAAAAGATACTACGACCACCCATAAAAGACCCCAACCAAAAAAATGCCATTGATATTTCCTCACTTTCATGCTGCTACTTCCTTCACTGCTGTGCTGCATTTGGAGCAAGCCTGTTCCATGACTAAGGAGTCAGTCACCAGGATTTGTATTGATTATATACCACAGCTGCCTAATTATAATTTCCAAGACTTTTTACAGGCTATTTCCAGTGCAAAATATCACCTTGCAGTCCACAAACACAACATTTGTGGTCTGAGCAACAACTGGGATAGCAAGCAGAGTCTAAATTTCACTAATATATTGTGGATTTCAGGGATATAGTGCAGTAAGGGAGCACTGCCACTTACAATACCCTACTTCAATCCTCTTTACGCATCCCTGATATTATTTACTGTATCTCTTATCAGATCGCCTGCTTCACAGGACTGTATCAGCTCAGGAAAGCGGCAGAGGAAAAATAGTCAGAATTATAAAAAAATATAAAAAGGGTAAAAGAACCAGCCAGGTCTGTTACTCAAGTCATATATTCCCTAGGAAATATTTCTCCTGGGACTTCATTACAACAGCCGAACAGTGCAGGTGGTGCCCTGCTTTCAGTTTTACATCACAACCCACTTGGGAACTGGGAAAGACTGGACATCCAACTGTGCAGTTTTGGTTTGCCTTTTTTTTTTTTTTTTGGTAAGTGGAGTGCGCATGAGAGCGATTTTAGACTGAAAAAAGATAGTTTTATCCTTAGGCTTCCTCTAGTTCTGACTTACTGATTCAACTAACATTCTTTGTAGAAGCTTGACATGTTTATACAAAAGCATAAGTTGTCAGGCTTTATACCTACATCAGATTTCATGATGTTTATTCCTTCTGTCCGAATGGGCACTATTAAAAAGAAAAAAAAAAAAATCACCAAAACCCCTACAAATAAACTGGAATTGTAGAGATAACAGCCTTTTTACTACGGTTGCCTTTCTTTACATAAGTCACAAATAATTAACACTAGTTTCAGTTTGAAGTTAACTGAAAAATTTATTTTGCCATTAATGCTCTCGGAGATTTAAGTAATCTGTTTCTAAATTCTCTTATTAAAATCCTAGAGATTTAAAGCTCATTAACTGACTGGACGAAATTTTACAAAAAAAATCTGCCTATACCCAGGCAGACAGCTATGGAGAATACCCCCTTTACCAGCTAATCTCTCTCAAAATTCTCTCTGATATACCCCAATTTCTTTTTTAAGAAAAAAAAACACAAAACACACCTTTCCCATGTAATTTCTTCAACCAAAAGCAAAGGTCAAAAGAACACCCTTTGATGAATGACAGCCCTCTTCCTTTGCTGGACTCCCGTGTCCCTGCATCCCAAAACAACTGGGGATGCAGATCTCTCAGGCCTATGGCTAACAACATTCTGCACCAGAATGATGACATCTCACTGACATGTATCTAACCACAGAATCAATGTGTAATCTACACTGTGTAGCTCAAACCAACTGCAGGCAAGAGAATGCCCACCTCTATTTCCTCTCGATTCAAGGCCAGCAGGTGCTGGACACTGCTAGGCACCCAAGCTAGCTAGTACCCAAGCTAGCTAGGAAGGTTCTCAGGGTACTCAAATTCTCCTGCCTTGTTCAAGTGCCAGGGCTGTGAACAGGATCTCTGAGCAGCCAGGAGTGGATCAATACAAGCCCCAGGAGAGGGAGACCAGACAGCAGTTACATCCATTGCTGATCATCATAACTGATTAAACATTAGCTCTTCATTCCCAGTCCAGTATCCTTCACAGGAATTACAGTATCAGGATGATGATTCACAATGGTTTTCAAAGCAGATCCTAGCTCGAGTGGAAGAATAAAAGCAGAAGGTGTAATAAAAAACATGATGAGAATACATAGCTGGCACAGAGCACTAGAGGGGAAAAGTGTTATTCCACATCTTTCAATAAGCGTGACCTAGCTCATTAGATACAATCTCTGCTTTAATATTAAAGCCATACAGCACACATGCAGAAATAGCAACTAGTATTGACTTTACAATATCCATGTTAATTATACCAGTTTCTGAGGGCTGCACTGTCTTCAAACACCAAAGCCC